CAAATAATATATTGTTTATTCTTCTTTCTGACAATTCTTCTATCTGGTTAATAAGCGTTGCTTCCATTATAATTTAATTTGGTGTTTATAAGTTCAAAATATTGAAGTTTTAAATAATTAATACACGTTATTAACACATTAAGTCTCATTATTTTTATCATCATTCTATTTTAAATATTCTAAGATAGTACGTCAAAAACAGTACAAATATTAAATAAATAGAAGCAGTGCATCATCAATTATCTTCTGGTTAACCCATTACCTTTTAAAAGGAAATGTATTAACCACTACTTCAACAATGAAGTGAATTATTATTTATGATAGCATTACTTGTTGTAATAGAAGAGTATGAGTTTTTAAAGAAACTAAGATTGTTTGTTAGTATGTAAATATATTTGATAATATAATGTATTGTCAAAGCAAAATGACATACATATTCATGGCAATGATAAATGAAAGTAAACATAATAATAAGGTAGTAATGAAATACTCTCTCTTCATAAAACAAGAAAATAAAGGAAATGAGAATTTTTTAATAAATATTAAAATGAAAATAAAAATCAAGTAGTAACTTAAATGATTTAAATTGATGAAAAATTAAAAAGACATTAATTTAATGGAAATATAGGAATGAAGAATGAAGAATAAAAATACACACTTCTTAACAATAATGATGAAAAACTAAATAATAAATGAATAATAAAACAAAACAAATATTCTTTAGACATAATGATGTGATTATTCTCATATGAATAAAGAACAATAAATAAAATAAATAATAATACTTATTTATCTTCTTTTTAATATTTATTTTTTTATTTTTAATGAAGTTTGATTCTATTGGAATTATTGTTGAAATATTGATATAATTAAGACAATTGAAATAGTGAATGAATTAATTTATACTATTATTATTGTAATTATTATGATGATAATTATTCTTACTGTGATAGTACTTATTATATAATTATTGTATTTCTTTCTATCCAATTAATACCAACTTTCACTCATTCTTCTATCACTTATGTTTCACTGATAATATTGTTTTTCCTTCTTTTAATGTGAATGAGTTATACTTTTTGTGATATTTCTTGTAATTCCATTTTTGTTAATTTGATTAAATTTATTATCAAAAATTAATTAATAAATTTTTTTAATTGATTTACTTTAATCCTTGGTTTAATGAAAGAAATACCAAAAAAAAAAAACAAAGAAATGGCATAACAAAAATATTAAATTCACTTTACTTTGTTAATACTAGTTTACTGATAATATTACTAAGTAAGAGTATTGTCTTTTTATAAAATTTTGAGTGTTATACTTCTGTTTTTTTTTTAATGAGAAACAAAAGTTACAAAAACAAAAATTTTTGTTTGTAAAGTTTGTACCTAAAGTTCTTTTGTTAGTTTGTTTTACGCCGTTGAGAAATGGTTATGATATAACACTTTGTATTTTCAATTAATATATAACGATTAATGTGAAGACTTTTACAAAATATCAAAAAAAAATAATTAATAAAACTAAAAAATAATATTCAGATTCTATTAACCTGATATTAATGGAAAAATTAATCAAAAATGACATGATAAATAAGGTGAAAAGACAACTTGTTGAGTTAAAAGAAGCCATAAAGAAAGGACAATCTCAAATTGATAAAGAAATAGAAAATTTAATTGAAGGGAAACCTGAAAATACGGAAGTTATTATTGAACAAAAATTAAAAGGAATTGAAGAGATGAAAAAGATTATTGAAGAATGTGAAAGTTTTATTCATGAAGCAAACGAAATGATACAAAAAGAGGAATTTAATTGTTTTGTTATGAAAAATAAAAAAGAAGAAATTTCCAAAGAAGAAGAATTGAACAAAATGAAAGGATATGCTCAAAGTATTAAAAGAAAAGAAGTTCACGAAGAGTTTGAGAAATATGATGAGTTTGTAGTTCACCAAAACGAAGACAGTAAAAAAGAGGATGAACGGGTTATGATTAATCAACTTCAAAATGATTTGATTGAACAAGCACTTACAAAGTTACAAGAATGGAGTAATAAAAATGAGGTTCATGTTTTATTTGATAGTGATTTAAATGAATGGAGTGAGTATCAAAACACAGGATTATTTAATAGACCAAGTATATTTTTATTTATATTTGATGAAAATAATAATGTCTTTGGGTGGTATTTTCCACAAGGGATAAATGAGAATGGAATTAGAGAATATCAAGAATGTTATTTACAAAAAGGAACAGAAAAAATTTTTGAAATACAAAAAATCAAACAAAAAGACATAAAAATTGGAAGAGGTGATTGTATTATTGAAATGAAACAAGGAAATACTATTGAAACACAAATAAACTTTAGTTCCAACAAGAAAACAACATCTTATTGTTATGATTCATTGTTTAATGTAGAACGTATTATTTGTATTCAAATGCTCTGTGATGAATGTTTAGATGTTATACAAGACAACTTACAACAATTACAAGAATGGAGTGGGTTGTATGAATGTAGTAGATTATATGATACATTAGAAGATGGTGAAAATGAAGGAGAAATGAAAGAAAGAATAAATGGAGAGAGTAATATATTTATTATCTGCATAGATGAATATGGGAATGTTTTTGGGTGTTTTATTGAAGCAGAAATAGGAGATTCATTACTTTTAAATTCAAGAAATCATTTTTTATTTGCATTTGATAATACTGAAGATTTAAGTGGACATCCTCGTCGATGGAAAATGAAAAAAGAGAGATTAGGAAAATTAATTTTAGGAGATAACGATATGTTGTTTTCATGTGGTGATGATATTTCTCCATTTGGAATGTTAATAATTTTTAAAACTTCATTTAGAAGTAGTTTTTGTGCTAGTTTATCTAATGTATATGAATATATTAAAGATGATGATTTAAATGGTACATGTTTTAATGATGAAAGGAGAGATACTTTTAAAGTACAACGAGTTATTGTACTTAAAATGAACTAAGAAATATACTTTAAATCATTTAAAAAATAGAAAAATAAAAGTTTGTAAAAAGAAGAAACTGATAATTAAATGATAAAATGAAATAAAATAATTATAATATTGAACATTTTCTTGGAGTTTTAGGAGGATTTTTTTCTAATATTCTTTGTAATAAAATAGAAAATGCTTTGTCAACATTCTTATTTGTTTTTGCTGATGTTTGAATGCAAGGAGCATTGATTGACTCTGCAAATTTATTTACTTCTTCAATGTCAATTTTTAAATCCAAATCAATTTTGTTTATAACTACCACAACAACATATTCCTCTTCAGATTTAAATTCTCTTATTACTTCATAAAAATTTGGAAGTTCAGTTAGAGTATATTGATTATTTCCATTACAAACTAACAAAGCTCCATCACTACTTCTTACATATAATTCTCTTAATGTTTCAAATCGGTCACTTCCACAAGTGTCTTGGATATTTACAGTACAAATAACATCATTAATAATTTTTGTACAACGCTCCAAATTATCTATTGATGGTTCATATTGGGTTATAAAACTCGAATTAATATATCTGTAAATTAATGCAGTTTTTCCAACAGCACTAGACCCAAATACAACAATATTAATTGTTGACGTTAGTTTTTTCATTTTATTTATAACAAAATTTTTCAGTTTTGTTGAGATTTTTTTAGTGAAATCTCTTTTTCATTTTATGTATTTGTATTATATAACTTTTGTCTGTAATTGAACTATTTAATTGAATAAAAACAACACTTCGAAGACGTTAATACTGAAAGACCCAGATTAAATAAATTTTAGGTTTAAGGCTTGTAATAATATTACTTAAAAATTATTCTTCAATATTATAATATCATTAAAACGTTTTCAATATGAAAATTAATAATAACGAACAAAAGAGAATTTATTAGTAAAACAATACCATGAAATTTGTATTGCATTGCCAAACTACTTCATAAACATTAATTAAAAAAGATTGTTTTAAATAAATAATTAAAATATAATTTAATTATAATTTTATAAATAGATTCTATTTATAAAATTTATAAAACCATAATAATTAAAATTAATATAATAAATTATGTTTCATAAATAAGAAAAAGATTTAATAGAATTAAGTGATGACATGTGTTGAACAATCTCTGAGTTTTGATGACAACTTACCTTCGTCTGATATTTCTTTTTTTCTTATATTAAAGAAAATAATAAAATAACAAATAAACAAAATTAAAATAATAAAACAATTAATTAAGTATTAAATAGAACTAATTTCGATTATTCCTTGTATATTTGAGACTAATCCTATCTATGAGTCTTCTTCTAAATAAACAAATAAAAAGAAATATAAAAACAAAATTAAAAAATCAAGTTAAATTAAAGTTCATCACAAATTAGAAGAACCAAATTCATAAATCGAGAAAAATCTTCTCTTTTAAAATTTTCATTCTTCACATTCATAGCTTTTTGATAAATAGAACGTGTCAACCCAAGGAAACTTACACACCCAACAAACTGACTTCGTTTGATCTTTTTAGAAAATAGTCCACGTGCGTTGGCTCTAATTAATGCTTCACAATTCTTTCTAGTAATATCAAATCCTAATTGAGGAAGTGCAGCCATCATTTCATTTAAATCCATTGTACCACTATGGTCAGCATCAAAGTGTGTAAATGTTTTATCTACTAAATCAACAAATTTCATTAATGCCAAATATTCATAAAATCCAATATTTCCAGATAAATCCATGTCAAATATTTTCATTAATTTTCTACAAGTATCTTCATCAAGTCTTAACCCTCCAGGAAATTTAGCTGATTTAAGCTCATTCAACTCAAGTGTCCCTGACTTGTCCTTATCTGTCTTTTCAAACCATTCTTGTAATGGTCTGAATTCTTCTATTCTTAAAGACATACATAATGGATACCACCACTGCTCTTTAATTAATGGATCTTCTTGAAATGTTTTTGTAATATTTTGAAAGATCCATGCATCTTGAGCAGCTTGAATATCAAATATTGACATGTAATAAACAGTTACTTTTCAAGTTTTAAAGATACACAAAAGATCCAATCCTCTCATTTATTGCTCTTTTCTTTAATTTATACAAAAATCCATATTGTTTTATATAACATAATTTATTAAAAAGATAAAACAAAATATAAAAAAATTGAACGAATGAATCAAAAGATAACAAAACTGTGTTATTAGAAGAATAAGTGAATTTTAATAAATTATTAAATATCAAACATAATTGAATAAAAGAATGTTGATTTTTTTCTATTTCATTATTTCTCTATAATAACCATTTAAATTGTTATAAATTTATAAGTAGTTATAAAGCATTTTGTTTAAATTTAAAGTTTTTATCGTTTGTAAATTGTTTTTGAAGAAATAGTTTTGTAAGTTAATAATCTATTAAAAAATTATTATGAAGTTCAGTGTTTAAATAATCTTTTTCTTTTTTTTTCTCTTAATGACATTGAAATAATGAATTATTCACTTTTTGAATAGAACATTTACAAATTTATTTTATTAATAAACTAAATAGTGTAATTGTATTTCAACAAAAGAAAGAATTTTAATAAAATCTTTTACTAAAAGAATATTCTTTATCAAACTTTTTTTAAAGAAGATAATTCAGAAATGATGTTTATTAAATTTTCTAAAGAAAATAAAAATGAGATAATTAAATGTTAATAAAATTAGTTTCAATTTTTCATAATCAAATGAGAATAATTAATTTTGTTTGTTAAACATTATTAAAGAATGTAAAAAGGGAATAGTAATTTAAACTCAAACAACAAGAAGAATACAAAAATAAAAATAAAAATGGAGAATTTATAGAACTTAATAAATATCATTTAAATGTTTAATACAATGGCTACTGCAAGAAAACCAGAAAAAGTAGTTGGAATTGATTGGGGAGACCAATTAATTAAAGTTACATTTAATAATAAAAGTACAGAACATATAATAAATATGTATTTTGGAGTAACAGCAACTGATCAACCTCCAAGTGCAATAACATTAAGTAAAGGAAAACTTTATACACTTTATAGTTCAACTGTTTGTTAAATTATTATTAATTAATTCATATAATAATCAGTAGACCAATTCAGATACAATTTATAATTTTGTTAATTTATCTTATTCATATGATATGGATAAATTTAATGACTGTAAAAATTCTGTTATGAATCCTTTATTTGATAATGAACAAGTAGATTTTAAAGAATATGGAAAAATTTCTCGTCAAGCTTTGTTTTCTATTTTTCTTGATTTTATTCAAAAACAAACAAATTGTGAAATTGCTTTTATTTCTATGAATGATTATCATGGAGATAAATTTAAAACTGACTTAATTCATGCTGCTAAAAAACTTGGTATTATTTGTTATTTAATCCCTTGTTATGCTGGTTCTATTGTTAGTTATATTAGTAGTCATTATGATAATTCAGTATGTACACGTGCAATTCTAGACGTAGGATATTATCATACAAGTATTGTTATCTTTAATTCTTATTTAAATACAGCAGAAGTTCTTTTAAAACGATGTACAAATATTGGTGGTTATCATTTTACTCAAAAAGTAAGAGAATATATTATCTTTAAAGCAAATGAACAAGGAGTTTCTGAAAATCAAATTTCTTCTTCTTGTTTAAAAGAAAAGGTTTCAAGTTTACGATCTTCTTTCTCTGAAAGAAAACTAGCTTCAATGGATATTATTCTTGACTGTAAAGGTAATGATGATATTAGAATTACTGCTATAAAAGATGAATTTGCTACATTCACTCAAAAAGAATGTGAAGAGTTATCTCAATTCATTAAAGACTCTATTTCTCGTTTGCAAAACCATCCTCAAAGTCAGTACTTTAATCCTTCTCAAATAAAAGATTGTTCTTTATCATCTATTGAGGTTGTAGGAAAAGGATGGTTATTATGTTGTGTTAAAGATGCAATTTCTAGTATTAGTAATATATCAACATCTCTTGACCCTTCTTTTTCTTCAGCATATGGTGCTGGTGTATTAGCAAATCAACTTATTGAACCTTCAAGGAGAATTCAATTAATTGATAACTCTTCAAATACAACTATTGGTGGTAATCATTTATCAAAATCAGATAACGAATTTGTATTGAGAATGGACACAGGGGATACAGCTATATCATCATCCTACTATAATCCAAATGGTTCAGTTGAACAACGATATATTATTAAATCTGAAGAAAACAAAAGTTTTACTCCTCAGAAATGTCAAAATGAAAAGTTAAATCACGTTCTTCAACAATATGATGTGACTAATGATAGAAATAAACTTCATCATCTCAAAAGATTAGAAGTTGAGAGAGAAGACACTATAAAACCTGATAAAGAAAAAGGACTTTCATTTAAAAGCTTTAAAGAGTATTATGAAAAAAATAGTGATTTAGTTTATGACTTATGCAAAAGAAAAACTAAATTATTAATAGCTCTTGCAAAAAAGAAAAAAAGTATGGAACTATCAAGAATAAAAGAAATCCAATCAAATATTTTATCCATTAGATTAGAAGACCAAGATAAGTTAAACGAAATTGAAAATGAATTAAAATAATTTTTTTTTTTGAATATAAATTTAATTTTTCTTCTTTAATAGAAAAAAGTCAATCAATTATCAGCTGAGTCTGTTGGATTTGTTCCATTCGGTTGAGGTTGTGGCATTATTGGATTCATTTGAGGTGGAGGACCTATTGGTGGTATCATTCCCATTGGTGGATACATTGGAATTCCAGGTGGAATTGCTCCTGGAATCATTGGTGGAACACCAGGAATAACTCCAGGAACAGGAATTTGTCCAGGTGGAACAACTCCCATTTGAGGATATAATGAAGGAATAGGAATACCTCCCATCAATGGTTGAGGAATTCCAACACCTCTAGTTGGTGCAACTAAAGCTATCAATGAATATATTAATGTTAAACATAATAAAAATAAAACAAACATGGATTTGCTTGTGGACCAGCAGTAATAACTGAAGTATTTACAACATTTGGAACAAAAGTTTGTTGTTTTCTTTTCTAAAATGAATAAGAAATATATATAATTTTATTATTATTATTATTTCAACAATAATATTTAACAAACAGGTGGTGGTGATAAAACAGTATATCCTTGAATACAATCACCTCGTAATAACATCATTCCTAAAGATCTTTCAATCTCTTTTTCTTCACGTGTTTTTTTATTAATAACTGTTCTTTTTTCAATAGTTTCAGATAAAATCATATTCATATATTTATCAAATGCTAAAAATTTACCAACAAAATTTCTTCCTTCAATGGTAGTAACTTTTATTGTATAATTAATATATTTTGATATTTTACTGCTTTTACATGCCATTTCAATTTAATTTCTTAATTATGTTTTTTATTTGAAGTTCTCTTTTTGTTTTTCTTTTTTTTTTTTTCTTTTAAAATAAAATCTTTAATCAATTAAAAAATCTCTCTTTAATGAACTTAACTGAACTTGAAAACAAAAGGATTGAGTTTGTCAAATTGTTGAGAAAAGGTGGATTAGATTTTATTAATAACATTAAAATGCCACTACTAATGTTTGCTGATATTTTGACTCAAATAAAATTAGTAAATTCTCAAATCCAAATGAAATATTTCCAATTTATTTCTCAATTCGCTTTTTCTCTACCTATTATTCTTAGTCAACAAGAACAACAACCATTCGATATTAATATAATCTTTGATGGAATTGAATCAATTAGTTCTCTCTCATTATTTAATAGCCTAAAAGTATTCACAAAACAATATATTAACGTTCTTCAATCATCCTCATGTGATAAAAAATATCTGAACGAATTCAATTTACTATTAATCCGCTCTGTATTTGATTTTCTTACTACTTTAAAAGATTCAATGGCAACTGTTTTCTTCATGTCAGTTTTAGATGAATCAGTTCTTCCAGATAATACAAATGAAAAGAATGAATTGTCTATTCACAACCAAACTCAATCTCTAGATGATCTTAATATTAATTTAGATGACACTGATACTCCATGTGTGTCTCCACCACTTCCAGTGATTCCTTTTAGTAACGATAATTACAATGAAGAAGAAGAACATAATAAAGGAACTATATCAAATGAGAAAGATGAGTCTCATTCTTCTATAAAAAGTCCAAAAAAACCTCTAATAGAATCTCAAGACACTTCTGTTAAAAAAGAGATAAGAAAAAAGGAAAATCCTACTGATGTTTCTACTATTAAAAAAGATACAGATAAACTGTTTCAAGAAATTAATGACTTTTTTAAACAATCCAAAATTGAAACATCAAATGAAGAAGGGATGAAAGGAACTGGAACTATTCAGTCACAAGAAGAAGAAGAATTAATTAATGACCCAAATAAATTGAATGTTGAAGATTTAAAACAGAAAGACAAATCAAATGAAATAAAAAAAGAAGAAAAGAAACCAATTATCCAACAAGAAGTGAACAAAGAAAAAAAACAACCACCCAAAGAAACAATTTTATCTGAAGAAAAGAAAATTATTATTGATCCATCAAAATATCAATTTATGGCAGAATATAATGGATTAATTTGTTTTGAATTTAATGGACAAATAAAAGAAGAAGATAAAAATGAACAATTAAAAAAGTATTACTTTGTTAAAGACTTAAATCAAAGTCATTCATCAGTAGAACGTAGTTATAATATAATGACAAAATGTTCTTATAAAGAGAAAGATGTTATAAAAGTAAAAAGTAATGTTTTTAGTTATAAAGATATTATTACTGATGACTATATTTTTAATGTAGAAAAAACGTTATTAGAAAAAAGAGGAGTATTAGTAGTCACAAAAACATTACCAATTTCTAAATCATTTAAAGGAAAATATTATCCTTATATCCTTGGAATTCGTAAAGAATTACTTAAAAATACTTCTATTAGTTTTCCTAATGAACCTATTATTATTCCTATTAGAATAAAAAGAAGTAAACCCAAATATTATTGTTTTTATTACAATGTTTATGAAAGAGGGAATATTGATGACATATTAATTATTGAAGTAATTATTGAGTAAATAGTTTTTTTGTTTTTTTTTTTTATTAATTTAATAGTTTATTATAATTTTACTTAATTAAAATAGTAAAAGGTAATAGAAGAATAGTAAATTTTTATTAAAATAAAAAATATGTTTTGTACTGATTTTAAATTACTCTAAAAACATTATTTGTTTATTCTTCTTATGAGTAAAACAGGAAAAAGTCTTGAACAATATATCGCAGAAACTCCTTTAATTGAAATTAATGAACTTAAACAAAGAGCAAAAAATGGAATTCCTGAAAAACAAAGACCATTTGTATGGAAAGTGTTATGTGGATATTTACCAGAGAATGTATCTTTACATAGTTCTAAACAAAAAGTAAAAAGAAGAGAATATTGTAGGTTAGTTCAATACCATTTTCATATAACACAAAAAAATTATCCTAAAGCATGGAAAAGTGTAAAAGAACAAATTAAAAAAGATATTCCAAGGACATATCTTAAACCATTTAAATTGTTTAAATGTAAAGAATTTGGTGATGTTATTGCTAGAATATCAGTAGTTTGGTCTTTTGAACATGCAGATATCTTATTTTTTCAAGGATTATTAGATTGGGTTTCATTATTTTTTATTACTTATCTCTTCGAACATATCTCATTTAAAGATGCAATTGAAATTACTGATTTATCTTCTTTTACTCCTAAATGGATATTACAAGTAGAAACTGATTGTTATTATTCACTTTGTGCAACATTAGATAAATATAGAGATCTTCTTGTTTCTGACTTTGGACGAATTTTTAATGCAGTTAAAGTCCTTGAGAATATAGTTCAAAAATATGACCCAACTTTAAACCAATTTATTTTGGAATATCCAGAATTATATCTCACTTCTACCAGATCATTCATTTGTCCTTTCACTAGAAATTTTAACTTTCCACAAATGTATTATATTTTTGACGCAATGTTATCTACTGAAATGTTTTATAGTCATTTTTATTTCGTTGCTGGACTGTTTATTGAAAACGAAGAACATATAATGAAAGACTCTGACATTATTGAAGTAATGCAAGCAGTTCAATCTTTACCAACTAAAACTTGGGATTTACAAAAGATTAAAATTTATATCTCAAATGCTTTGATGATGTATCATAATGATATGCCTTCTAAGTTAGAAGTTTTTTTACCAATGCAAGACCCTATTCAAATACCTCCTTATCTAAAACACAAAACTTCACAATTAACTCTTAAACAATTACCTTATTTAGATGAAATAACCCAAACACTTTTTAGGTATACTATTGCTTTAGTTCTTATTAGATTCTTTATTAGCCTTATAACTGTTGTTATAGTCGTACTTGCTCTTATTATTAAACACCAAACAAAATTATCTTTAAAGACTTTCTAATTATTTTGCAACACATTTTTATTGCTTTTTTTTTAATGACGTTTTTTTTTAGAACAAATTAGATTGGATTTTTAAATTAATTATTGAGAAGAAATCCCGAAAAATAAAAGGAAATGTAAGAAAATATAAGATCGAAGAAGATTATTGTTCAAAAACTAAAATAAATGAAGCTGTGAGGAAGTGTTTAGTTTGAGTAAGAATGAAATTTAAACTATTTTCATTTAACACATATTACAAAAAAAAAACTGATTAATCAAATTAAAATGAGTTCACCTAAAAAGGTGTCAAGTAAAATTGCTCAACTTATTGGACAATATGAACAATTAGAAGCAAAAAAACAAGAGGAATTAGAAAGAGAACAAAAAGTAAAGTCACAAACAAGGAACCATCCAAACCGAGTTGTTGTTAAACAGTCAACGCTAAAAATTCAAAGAAAGAAAAGCTCTAAGTCTTCTTCAAGTAGTGAGGAAATAACAACTTCTAAAACACCTCAAAAAACATTTAAACCAGCAAAACAAAAAGGAAAAATTGCTATTCTTACTAAACAATTAGCTGGTGAACTTGACACTAAACAATCTAGCTTTGAAATAGAACAAAAAGAAATTGAAAAAAATACTACGTCTATTGAAGATGAATCAACTAAAAGTCTTGATGATTCTAAACAATCACTCCCTGAAGTTAGTAAAGACAATGTTAGTGAATCTAGTTCTACTCTTACAAATGTTGAAAAAAAATTATCAACTTCATTAAGTAATGAACAAGATGAATTACAAAAATCAAAGTCATCCTCATCAACTGATAACAAAAAAGATGAAATTCATTTTGAGGAAGTTTTACCCAAAAATGAAGAAAAAGAGATTTCTATGGAGGTTGAATCTTCAAAAACAGAAGAAGAAAAATCAAATTTACAAATCCCTTCATTAAATGTAAGTGAAGGTAAAGACAACAATGAGTTTATTGAGACTGCTGAAGTCTTAAAAAAGTCTAATTCTTCAAATAGCTCTGATGAAGAAGATAAAAAAGATGAAGAAGATATAAAAGATGAAGAAGATATAAAAGATGAAGAGGTATCTTGTGAAAAACTTGATACTCAAGAAGAAAAAAAAGAAGAAATGACTAGAGCTGAAGAGTCTCAAAATGAAGAAATAAAGGATAAATTACCAATAACTCCCTCTTCAGAAGTTTCTGAACAACTTGAGCAAAAATTAAAGGAAAGTATTAGTCAAGAAGTAGTTACACAATCTGAAGAAGTTAAAGAGACATCACCTACAATAAAAGAGGATGATAGCTTGAGTGATGAAGAAAAAGAGGTTCATGAGAAAGAAACAGTATTATCAATTAATGGAGAAGAAGCATCAATTCATTCACAATCACCAATTGATTATTCAAATAATGAAATTGATACAAATAAAAAAGCTGAGAAAGACCTTCAGGAAAAAACCTCTAAACCTCATTCTGAAGAAGATCATATTATTAAAGGTAATGTTTTAATAATAAGTGATGATGTTAAGCACACTAATTCAAGCGAGTTTAGTGAATCTTCTCATGGCGGAGATTATAAAGACGTTATGGTTTGTGTTGGAGAAAATAAGAAAACTTCTTCAGTCTCATCTTTGTCAAATGACCAAAAGGAAGAACCAATTACTAACATTAATGAATTAAATCAAGAAAATATAGTAGTTAATGGTATGGAGTTTTCTATTAAAAATGAGAATAAAATTTCATCATCGTCAGCTAAATCCTCTTTATGTTCAGTTGAAGAAAGAGACAAAGAGGTTTATGTTAATATTGATGACCAGAAAGGTGCATCCCCCACAATTAAAGAATATAGCTCTTCTGATTCTGTGGATGAAGAAATGATAGGAACAGTTGTTGTTGGAGTTGTTAACGATCTTGTTGAACAAATTCAAAATGAACCCAAAGAGGAGGTTAATCAACCAGTATTAGAATCATCTCCTTCCTTATCAGAAGAAAAGAAAGATGAAAAGTCAATAGTATCTTCAAATGGAGATGAAAAGGAAATAGAACCACCAAATTTAGATGAAAAGACACTTGCTTCGATTCAAGATTTAGTAACGAGTAAAATAGAAGAATGCCAAAAGAAAAAAGAAACTGAAAATGCTGCAGAACTAGATTTATCAAATTCTTCAATACCAGAGAAGGTTACAACTCAGAGTATCAGTAGTTCTGATGAGGAAATGGAAGTTCAAGATGAACATGTTAATGTTATTGAAAATGAAGTAATTGAAACTATAAAAAGTAAAATTAAAGAGGAAAATGATAATGAGTTAACAAATGAAGAACAACAAAAACAAGAAGAAACAAAAATTAAATTTGTTATTAAAGAAGTTACTTCAGAAACTCCTTCAAGTTCTGAAGATGAGTCTACAGAGGTAACAGATAAAGAAGTAATAAGTGTAAGTGAAGAAAATAAAGAAGAAAATACCACTGACCAAATTATTCTCGAAGAACCAAAACAACAAGTTGATGAAGAA